ATATATATATATATAGTAGATATAGAGCGAGAGATAGATATAGATGATATATAGAGATAGATAGAGATATATATATATATATATATATATATATATATATATATATATATATATATATATATATATATATATATATATATTTGTGCATTCATTATTACAGGTGACGATGATTCTGCAAGAATCTCTAAGGTTGTACCCACCGGCGCCTCTAATGACACGAGGCTCTACGAAGACAGTGAAACTAGGAAATATGACTATTCCACCAGGGGTACATATGACATTGCTAATAGGCATACTCCACCGCGACCCCAATTTTTGGGGAGACGATGCAAACGAGTTCAATCCTCAGAGATTCTCTGAAGGAGTTTCGAACGCGGCAAATACTCAATCCGCCTACATACCCTTTAGTGCTGGTCAAAGAGTCTGCATCGGTCAAAACATGGTCATGATCGAAGCAAAAATAGCTCTAGCCATGATTCTACAAAGCTTCTCGTTCGAGCTGTCGCCCTCATACTTACATGCTCCTTTTAATGATATTAATTTGTTACCAATATATGGAGCTCCTATGATTTTGCGCTCAATATAAAAAAAAGGATCATGATCAGGATCAGAATCAGAATCAGAATCAAGACCAGGTTTAGGTTCCTAAGCAAGTCCGTTTTTATGCTGCTGATAAGACAATGTGTGTTTTTCATTTTCACTTTTGTGGAATCAAATGATTTGTGTACTCAACTTGTACTCCAATAAAATGGAAGTAATGTCTTTTGTTTGACCCAATGATCAATATGTAAAGATAAATTATATCTCACGACATTGGTTAAGATATAGTTGCTTTCACATGACTTAAGATTGAGAGAGTATTTTAGTCGAATTATTAAAAATATTTTACAACCCATACATTTTAAAAGTTGTTTCTGAAAATTATAGGGTAAAATATAGTTTCCACCCTTGTATTATAGAATAGGTCGTGTTCACCCTCCTGTGGTATTAAAAACTACAAAGTCCCCCCTATTTTTGACAGTCAGTTGAAAGTGATTTGACGGTGTTAATAAATGTTGCAGTGCAATTACTCTTATCCTCTCTTTTTGTCTTTTACTTTGTTGAAAATTATCAGAAGTTGTTTATTATGAGTTAAAAACTTTTTAAAAAACAGAAGTTGGTGATTATGAGTTAAGTTGTTTATAAGTGCTTATCTTAGGTGGTGTTTGCAAAAACTTTTAGAAATAGATTATGAGCTTTTTTTTCTCTCATAATTAGTTTTTAGGTGTTTGTAAAACCAACTTTTGTTTTTGCTTCTCTTAAAATAAGCTGCTTTAAGCTATAATTTTAAAAGCACTTATGTACCTGCTTTTCCTATTTAAATTGATTTTCCAGATTTTTTGCAAACACCCCCAACTTTTAGAATTAATTAAGCACTTAATATCAACTTAACTCACAATCACTAACTTTTGCTTTTAAATAAGCTTTTACAAACACCAGCTTAAAGCGTTGGGGGCGTTTGCAAACTCCATGAAAAAATAACTTTAAGCAACATATTCTAAGGTGGTGTTTGCAAAAGCTTATTTAAAAGCATAAGTTAGTGATTGTGAGTTAAGTTAATATTAAGTGCTTAATTCTATAAGTTAGGAAGTTAGGAGTGTCTGGAAAAAACTGGATTATAACTTTATATATATATATATATATATATATATATATATATATATATATATATATAGGGATAATTACACTTTTCGTCCCTATACTTTACCACTTATTCGTTTTTCGTCCTTAAACAAGTTGGAGTGACATTATTCATCCCTAAACATGCTATTTTTATGCTATTTTCGTCCCTCCGTCAATTTGGCTGGTTAGTTTGGACGGAAGATTACATGATACGTAAGAGTCAACCCCTCTCTTCAATTTCAGATTGCATCTTCTTTAGTACATAAGCCTTCTTTTCCAAATGGCTAATTTCTTCAATATCACACACCTCTTTGGACTCGTAAATAGCCTCAATAATCCCCAAAAGACAATTTTTTCCATCATACAAAAATCTGATGCAATGCAATTTATATTTTGAATGATGTTTTTCTTCGAAGAGAAGATGTTAATTAATATATTTGGATTTTTTTAATTAAATTTATAATATGTTAAGCTACTCAACAAGAATTCTTTGTTTTGTTACATATTGAGGATTTGCACGATTTGTAATTTTGTAAACTTTAATTTAGATTGCCTAACCTTATTAGTCATTATATTATCTCCATATTGGACGAAAACCCAATTAACGTTAACTACTCATTTAAACAAAAAAAAAAAAATTTGTCATGGCGCTGTGGGGATATTAATCCTATATTATTTAAACTTGTTTTTGATTGATGCAGTCTTCAATCATCTCTAATAATATTGAATAGAAAAAAAAATATTAGATGTAGTTGCATGTCTTCTATATTTATTAATTCTAAAGTGTGTATGCACACAAATTGCAAAAGGTTATTTCACTGTATGTTTTGAGTTAAAATATGGAAATTTCATGCAAAGTCAAAATAAATATTATTCATACAATAATTGTATCGTTCACATTCAATTCTGCAAATTTCCTCTTAATTAGGTGGGAATGGGTCTCTTGCACGGTGGTGGCTCGTTTGCAAAGTTGAAATGGAATGTGCATGGTGGCTCAAATTACCCAGCAGCATACACGTGAGTAGCCACGTGGATTAATCGTCCATGTCAGCAGCATATATTAAGATTTTCAGGTTCACGTCAGATTTCCATCCAAAGTAACAGCAATAATTAACGGCAGGACGGAAAATGCTAAAAAATGGCATGTTTAGGGACGAATAATGTCACTCCAACTTGTTTAGGGACGAAAAACGAATAAGTGGTAAAGTATAAGGACGAAAAATGTAATTATCCCTATATATATATTTAGTAAAGGGTTAAATATGTCCACAATATTCAAACATACGTGGTCAACGTGCCACATCAGTTTTGGCTGATAGAACAACTAACAGTAGGGGGTTCTTGTATTTTTCGAGACCATAGGGGGTGAATGCAATATTTTTCATAGTAGAGGGGTGCAAACAATATTTTACCCCAAATTATAAGATTAAATCTCACATTATTTTTTGGGCAAATGGCAAATAGGCCCATGACAAGGGCACTTAATTAAAAGAGGGACATCCAACTTTTTTGTTTTACAAATAAATCCAGCCCATTCAAATTTATTTGCAAATAAGGAAAATCCTTTATATATACCAAAATTACCCCCAATTCATTGAAACCCAATTTAACTCCAATTTCATGATTTACACCACAATTTAGCCCAATTTCATCAATTAACCAATTTTAACCATAATTTCAATTTTGGCCCCAATTTTGACCCACCACCACCGGAGACCGCCGGCCGCCGCTGTTGACAGGCGTTGACTTTTTTTTTTTTTTTTTTGAAAAATTAATTTTTCCCTGAAATTTTTCCGGCCGGTCAACTGCCGTTGACCGCCGGGTCTCCGGCATTGATTTTTTTTTTTTTTTTTATAATTTTGTTTTTTCTTACAAAAAATATTTTAATTAATATTACTGTCTTGGCTGCTAAATTACTGTCTCCGGCAGTTATTTAACTGTCGGAGACAGTAATTTAACTGACTTTTTTATTCTTAAAAAAAATATTTTTAATTAATATTATTGTATTCGTTGTTAAATTACTGTCTCCAGCAGTTATTTAACTGTCGGAGACAGTAATTTAACTGTTAATTGACTTTTTTTTTTCAATTTTTTTCTTACAAAAAAAATATTTTAATTAATATTACTGCCTTGACTGCTAAATTACTGTCTCCAACAGTAATTTAACTGTCTTAGACAATAATATTAATAATATTACTGTTCGCCAAAATAATATTCATAATATTATTGTCCCAAACAGTAATATTACTGTTTGATATAGTAATTTAGTAGCCAGGAAGTAATATTAATTAAAATATATTTTTTCTAAGAAAAACAAATTAAAAAAAAAAAGTCAAAGACGGAGACCGGCGGTCAACGGTTTGACCGGCCGGAAAAAAAATTCAGGAAAAAAAAGAGTTTTCAAAAAAAAAAAAAAAAAAAATCAACGTCGGAATCTGGCCGGAAAAAAAAATTCAGAAAATAAATTATTTTCTGGAAAAAAAAATTTGGGGGTTAATGTGATATATTTGTTTAAATCCAGGGTCAATGTGTAATATTAAGGAAGTTAGAGCATAATGGATGGAATTGATAAGAATTATATTATGGAGGGTATTTTGGACTAAAGACATAGGGATGGGTTTAATTGAGAGACTGTTTTTTTTTGTGGACCAAAATGCATTTAAGTCCCATGTGATGGGCTTTTTTGCCATTCTCCCATATTTTTTAGGGAAAATTACGAGAATCCCATTGAGGTAAGGTCTAATTACGAAAATCACCACCATGTTTGTATAATTACGAAAAAAACTCCTCTAACCTGATTTTGACCGTGTATTATAACATAACTGATGTTTTCTCTGTCTTACCCTAAAGTAATCTGAAATAAAATAAAAAATATATCGAAACCCTTCTGAATGTTAACCATTAAAATTAACCCCCTCAAGCAGTAATAACAATGGATATGATTATGGGCTGGGACGGAAAGAAGAAACATTTTTTTTTTCGGAAAAATTACATTTTTCGTCCGCATACTTTATCCATTTTTTTTTTTAAATTGTCCATAATTATTTTGGAGTTACAATACAATCTTAGTCCTTAATCATGCCATTCAATGACAAAATTGGTCCGCCGTTTATTTTTTCTGTTAAGTTGGATGGAAAACGGCATGTGCCCTTCACATGCCTTCAATTTACAACACTACATGAAAATGGTCTTTTAACAAAATGCATTGCGTATTGTTAGATCAATTTTTTCATAATTAAAATTTTGTGAAATTCAGAATTATTTAAATTCCAAAAAATAAAATCGATATATATTGTTTTAAGATATTTTGAGAAATATTCTTTAAATAATTGAAATATTGTTTAAAAAACGAAATATTGCTTCAAAATCAAGACTTACGGAATTCGAATGAAAAACATTGTTTCAAATAAAATAAAAATCCGATCGGAATAGACGGAATAAGAATTCTTTGTTCCAATCTTCACCCATATTTAGTAATGTAAAACTCGATAAATCGTTTCAAAATATTTTTAGAAATACTGTGTAAAAAATTAATATAATATTTTTAAACTGGGATTTTTTTAATTCGAATGAAAATTATTGTATTAAAATAAAACAAAAATCCGATCGTAATAGGCAAAATGATTTTGTTGTTTAGTTGGTTTATAAAATAATGTGTAAAGTAATTTAGGAAAAAAGTGCAAAAAGAATTAACCTAAAACTAGGGAAAAACTATTTTCTTAAAAAAGAAGAGGAAAAGCGAAGAATAAACTATTTCTCTCACGGTCGAATGTTGTGGTCACACAACATGCCGGTCGGATGTCACTAAAAAAAAAATCATGACTGTTTTTCTTTGAAACCAAACATATTTTGTGATTTTGAAAATTCGGGATTTCATTTTCTTTATGATTTACTTTTCTTCTTTTTGAAACCGCGATCCATACAGAGCCTTCGGTTCATTTTTTTATGAAATACTCTGGCTGGTTCAGTTACCGCTATAAGGATCTACTGACTAAATGAAAGTGACTAGTAACACGTTCGGTTGACAAGATTCACATTTTTTCAAATCCGCTACCAAAATCAAAGTGCACAATTAAATGTTACTATTTCATTAAATTAAAGTGATTGAAAAATAGTAAAGAGAGAGAATTCAAGAGAAAGTATAAACGTGAATTATTTATTGTGAAAACGTGACCCTTATCGGGTCTTTACATTTGTTTATATAGGAAATATCTTAATAGACAGTTTCTATTT